TACAATTATAATTGTACTTCATTTCGAGCTGCGCATTAAAGTAAATTTATACCTTCCAAAATAATTAGACATGAGGACCGAAGTCAAAGTGACTTCTTCGATAATCATGAAGAATCATTCGAATTATTAGGATAGAATATTTTGAATTTTCTGGTGAGAATTAAATGACAGGCTTTAAATCCGATTCAAATTTCGCACTCGTCTGATGAAGTTCTATTTTTCGTGTTTTACAATATTGTTATTTATCCAATATTAAACAAGAATAAGAATAATATTAAAACTCAAATTTGAATTCGCATTTTAGTTCAGTCAATTTCTCTTTTTCGAATTTTCTTGAGCACGAAATTAAAATAAAATTCAGTTCGCCATCTCTTATTAAATACATTCTCTTAATCAAAGAGGATTGCAAAATCCTTTTTGCTCCTAATAATTTTTGCGAAGTTTTGACAATTAACGTATAGATTACTGAGAAATGTAATTCATTTGTGCAGTTTTTTTATTTTATTTTATATTACACAGATTAGTGGATTAGATTTATTTTATATTACACAGATTACTTCTATGAGATAATAGTAAAATATGGAAAGAAACATAATATTCAAAGAAATAATAAAATTGAATATCTTCATTGAATTCTTACTACTAATAAATACTGATTCAAGGCTAATAAGAGTCAGCATGGGAAGGTACAACCTTAATCCTAACGCCATTGTTACTTTTGATTATTTTCCCGGCCACACCAGGATCTGAAACTCTGCAACTTTGTCACGCTATATCTCTGGACTGAATACGTATTTTTTAACTCAAAACATGTGAAATTTATACTTCGAAATCAGACAAAGATAGATAAATATGAATTAATAAAAATAAATAATATTTTATTTTCAATTAATTACAATGCTTCAAAGAAATTTTATTGGAAAAATTTGCAAAAAATAATTATATGGAATAATTTGGATAAAAAATTCTCAAATTTTTAAATTTAATATTCAAGCAAAAATTTATAGGATTTTTTTAGTTGATCCTTTGAATTAAAAATAATTGAATTAAAAAAAATATGATATGAATCGCTCAAAAAAGTATAATTATTTGAATTATCGAAAATCGACATTTTTTAAAAATCTACATATTATATGTAAGTTTATAATTAATAAATAAAATTTTGTTATTTGAACGATATAAAATAGTAGATAAAGGATTGTACATGTATAAATATTATTATAGTATATATAATTAAGTTTATTAGGATTTAATTTAGAGGATGTTACAACATCCGCTCTAAAGCAATACGTCCGCCCCGACCAAGTGATTTCCGAAGACTGACAGAGATTATAAAATTTCTATTATTTATTATATTGAAATAATTCTTTTTAATTCTACATTTTCGTGTACTTACTTTTATATTATCCGAAATTCAGTAAATCTATATTTAATAAAAAATAAAGGGGTACCTAGAATGCCGAGAACTTACCAAATTAATAATGTGTGAGTCCTAATTATCCTCTTTGAACTTTCGTGCAGTCTCACATCGAGAATAACACAAAAATCTTTGCTTACCATATCTATGGAAGTTAAAGTTTTTTTCAACCTCTATTCGGGTCTTCAAATTATAAAAAAGTTACAGCAATGCAATGTGAAAAATAGTTGAATACGTTGGATCCAAGAGTGATTGATTAGGATTAAAGTGGAATAATGACTTAACTCCAATTTCTTTGTGATGTCTTCTTTATTCACAGTATTGAACGTTCAATACTGTGAATAAAGAAGACATCACAAAGAAATTGGAGTTAAATCATCATTCCACTTTAAGGTTGCGCGTCTCCTCCTGCACTGATTTTTATTAGCCTTGAATCGGTATTATTATTAGTTTAAAGAAATATTAAAATTTTCTCATTTATTTAAACAAAAATATATCAAATGGAAACTAAATTGATTTATTAGATGTAAAGTGACTTTTGATACGAATTATTTTATAAATAATAATATAACCTTTATATAAACCGCTATATGAATAAATAAAATCAATACAGATTATTTCTTTTCCTTATTTGATTTATAAAAATTTTTGTTTGTTAGAATTGAGACCAAGACTTAGTAATTTTAACTTTGCTATGTTAAATCAAAGCCTAAAGATTTCGAATCTCGTGTTTTAGCTCGCAAAAAAGGCCTTTAAGGTAAACACAGCAATTCCATTGATTGTGGGTTCTTTTAACATGTCCACATTGTACAGCAATAAGCAAAATTCTAAAATGAACAAGACCCGTCCGAATAAAGAGTCAAAAAATACCAATGACGATCCGATCTCGTCCTTTCTTGAGAAAAGTGACAGTTCTGTGTTGGAATCGAATTCTGAATTTGACAAACGGAAACGTCCAATCCTGAAAGTACTAATATTGAATCGAAAAAAATCAGATATAAAACGATGTGACGAATCGAGTAACGATGTGACCAGCAAGGAACAAATAAAATTAGAGGGCATAAAAATAGAGGGCATAAAAATTCCAAAAGAGACGAATGCTTTATTACGGTGTTCAGATACAATGCCTCCTCCGTGGTTCATCGAATACATGGAAGCGGTAAGTGACATATACTAACCGAATATATCATTGTCCTTATTTACTGAAACGATTAATCTTATCATTTTGCAGATGAAGAAAGACATGGTGTCTACGATCACAAAAGAAGTAGTGAAAAAAGTGACAGTGGAGCTAAACAAACATTTAAACTCCTTTGCGTATCCTTCGTTAAAGGAAGAACAATCTCGAAGTCAATCATATTCTTCTCTCTCGAAACGACATCCTAAATGCTCCTTCGATTCGAACGAGAAGAATCAAAAAAGGATGAGCTCTCAGGATGAGGAGCAATCGAGCGATGCTTCGATCGAACGTGTGGACGAGCCGCAGAATGTGAACACCACGAAAGATCTGCAGACAAAGAAAGATATGATATCTACAATTAGTCAAGAAGTGGTGAAAGAGATGACGGAGATGTTGAACAAAACATCTCTTACGTCTGTCTCTTCAAAGAGACACGGTCAATCCCGAAACCAGTCGCATCTTTCTTCTTTGAAACGATTTTCTCGATATTTTGATCCACACTCAAGAGAGAAGAATCAGAGAAAGATGAAGTCTCAAGATGGAGAGCAGTCAAGCGATGACGCTTCGATGGAACACATGTACGAGTCGCGAAACGTGAATATCGCAGATGTTTCGCGACTGAAAAAGCTTGATCATTTTATTGAAAATACTATTCGTGCAAACATGAAGGAGGAAAAAAAGAAGAGGAAATATCAATGGATGGCTTCAGAAACTACTGATAACATAAATAGTGACGTCGGCAAAGAACAATTTCGAAGTAATATACGAGAAGATTTGATTCCTCAGAAGAACTTGCCTCTACATGTGGACCCAAAACCAGATGAAACTAAGGGAGTGTTCGAGAACGAACTTCGTATGAGTTGCTCCGTTACTGGACACCAAATATTGGACGAAGATCATTGTAGGGATACCTGGTGCTCTGATATCGATAAAACCAGCTTTTGTTCATGCAATCAAGAAGAGGAAGACGACGATGCCTTCGAGATTATCCAGATGCCTATTTTGGGAAATAGGGATGAATCGCATTCTGAAGAGCTCGCTGCCGAGCAACGACGACACGACAGCAACCGGGATTCACCCAGCTTCGAACTCTTATCAGAATCGCCCTCGCCTACACCTACATGCTTCATGCATTTCAATGAAGAACATTTCTCGGCGAATGAGGGAAATCCTGAGTATGAATCTTTTAGCTTTCTTAACTCGCGGTACAGCTCCATTTATGTGATAGATATTCACGGTAGAATCTATAACGATTATGAATTAGCAAAACTCAATTGGCAAAGCGTTAACGCTGATTTGAAAAAACGAATTGATAAAAAACGTAATTTATACATAACAGATCAACTTCAGAATACTCACTGTTCGAATCCAATCCTAGAGCGATCAAACGAATGGAAGAAGAATCCTCGAGATGAGGGATGCAATACTCGCGACAACGCGAGTAACTCGTACGACGATGTGAGAAACTCGCATACGAGTTATCTGACCGTGCGAACTCACTGCGATTCAAAGTCGCAATCGCAGTGTAGTTGCCAATCGCAGACCGATTTGAATGACTTCACACAAAGCTTCCACTCTCACACCACATCGATTACTGACACGACCGACATTTACACTGAGGCCTATGGCAACGATAAATACGACGAGCAAGTGATGACAGCCAAGAACGTACAAGAAGTGGGGACAGGAACAGCGGCAGTAACAACAACAGCAACAGCAACAGCGACAGCGACTCCGAGAAACGATCATGATGTGCGTTTCAGGAGTGACTATATAAAGAATAAAATGACAAATGAAAGATATTTTCCTGATGTAGATGACTATTCAGAGGATTTCTGCACCTCGCATAATAATACTCCGCAGGAAACTTCGGTTGATCGTCTGTACCAATCCACTCAATCAAGCAGATCTTCCGATAGAGTGAATTCTAATGTAGAATCAAAGAAGACATTCATTGGCGAGACGCTGGACATTCATTGGCGAGACCCCGATTCTGCCCACATCTTACCAGAATTAGTTACCGCGGCCGCCCATGTCGGTTCGTTCGCTTATGACACTGCACGCGAAGTATTTGACAAGATACGAGCACACACGGTGAGCTTTTAAAGTGATGCGTGAAAAATGCATTTCTTGATAATTAAATGCAAAGACAATTTTAATTATGCGAATGATATTGTCGAAAATCGATTATCTGTTTCAGAGGGAGGATTCTGTTAAACGTCAAGCCAGTAAACACATAAAGCGCGATGATCAAGCATATTCGAAGCGCAGAAACTTTCAAACCTTCACACATCCTTAATATTAATAAATTACTAACGTATACTAATCATTTTTTTTGTTTATAATTGATATATATATACTATAACTATACATTACACAGGATTGCTAAGTAGATCTATTAGGCAATAGATAAGTACGCGTATCGGATTTATAGGCTCGAAATATTGTTGCAATCGAAATGTATACGGTCTCTCATAATATTGGAATTTCTTAGATCACGCAGTGAATAAGGTTAAGTTTCTTGTTTACGCCGATTAATGTTAATTGATTTGAGAAATACTTAGAATGCATAGATCCAATTGTTAACAGAAAGAATTTTGATGACACTGAATCAGTAGAATAAGAATTTTAGAAAAAAATGAATATTTTGTTTATACGAGCGATTCTTAATTGCGATAAAATAAAAAAATATCTCGGTGATAAGTCAAGATATTCTATCGAATATTACGTGTCTATTTATGGGGTGAAATTAAGAATCACTTTGTATGTAATAATATTCGTAGTATAAAATGTTCTCTATATCATAGAATATTAGAATTGAATCGTAGCTGTATAAAATTAAGGAACATATACATATAATGAAAACGAATAGACGAAATTAGGAAGAAAAGAGTGAGATAATGCGAAATAGTTTTAGGTTGTCTGGAAGAAATAATAGATTTGAAAAGAAAATATGAAATTCTTTATTAGTCTATCCGTGCATAAATAATATGGGGGCTAGAAATAAATTGTTTATATACGAGGATAAATCAAATATAAACGAGAATTTTTATGTATTATTTATTGGAGGAAAATAAAAATATAAAAAAAACATTATTTTTCTACATAGTCGCCTGCTGCATTAATACATTTTTGTCAGCGGATAGGGAGTTTGGTAATCCCGTTTTCATAAAAAGTAGTAGATTGTATCTGTCAATTGCGCACGAATTTCTCTATACTGGCATCGTCCACGAATCATATTGTCCTCCCAATTCTTCTTTTAGCAAAGATATCTCAATGCGATTATCATTTATTCGGGCCGATAAGAGAATTGGAAGAATTCGAGGAAAATGTCATAGAAGAATTCGTCCGCAATTGATTGCAGACACAACCTACTACTTTTTATGAAAATGGGATCGCCAAACTCCCTATCCGCTGGCAAAAATATATTAATGTAGCAGGCGACTATATAGAAAAATAATTTTTTTTTTTTATATTTTTATTCTCGTCCAATAAAAAAAAATGGTAATTATTTAGATATTCCCCTCCCCCTTCCCCCCCGCCTCAAATCTTAATAAAAATACACTTATTCGATGTGTTTGCACTCAAAATAAAAAAATTTGATAAAAAATGCATCGGTCGGCTTCGTGAATCATCTATATAGGATAATAGATATCTTAATCTTTAAAGTCTTCAACTTTAACGCTTAATAACTCTATTCACGAGGCCGATCGCTGCGTTTTTTTGCCAGATTTTTTCGTTTTGAGTGAAAACACGTCAAATAAGTGTATTTTTATTAAGATTTGAGGTGGGGGGGGGGAGAGTAGAGGGAAGATTCTAAATAATTATCAAAAAAGTTCTCGTTTATATTTGGTCTACCCTCATGTAGATGAATCAGTTGTTCTTGTTCTACTTGTATATTTATTAAAACGAAGGAGCGAGTTTATGATTTAGAGCTGAAATCATTAATAAGCTTACACGGATTTTGCACATGCATCTGAAGAGTTGTGATTCGATTTGTCACTACTTTGAATATCGGTGCAGAAGCAAGGAGGCATTATCTGCCAATAATTCTCTTAATAAAAAAATAAAAAAAAAATCGCCCCCCCAGCATGTGCATAAAATCGTAAAATACTTATATCAAATTAATAATATATATCAAATTAATGTTTCATAAAAGAATGTTTCGTGATAAGATTTACATGATGTGATTATTCAATTACTGCACTTTTGAAATTCTTATCTTATATGACACGCATTATTACGTTATGCTAGAGCTTATGGAAATTTAGCCGGATTTATGGAAATAAATGTTATTATATAAATTATAATGCATAGTTCAGATTATATAAATGTTCATACGCAATTTTGATCACTTAAAAATTTGAATATATCTCTATATTTTTAGTAATTTTTTAATTTTATTTTATACAATTAAATAATTAAATACAATTGTTATTGATTATTATATTTTTTTGCAAACATATTTGTATAGTGAAATTTTGAATTTGTATAAAAATATTTATATACAGTTATCATGATTTCGAAAATTTTATATATATCCTTGTCTACTTTTAATAGGCAAAGCAGCTCAGTAAATAAAAGTTTTTTATTTTTCATTTTAATTTAACCATTTCTGCTCGCTTGTTAAATTTCTCATTTATAATATTTGCGTAATTTAATTAATTAATTTTTCAATTTCTAAAATTTTTCAGTTCATTTTATAATTAATTTTCATTCACAGCACTGGTACAATTTTAATAATAATTTCCTACTTTTGTTTTAATTTTGTAAAAATATAAACTATTAAAATTTCTTATTTACAACTTCTAATGTTATTAAAATTTTTAATGTTATCTTGAAATATATGAAATATCCCGTTTCTCACTCCATGAACTTTCAGATTTGTTATTATACACTGAACATCTTTAGTCTGACATAATTATTTTTATAAAAAAAAGATTGAGAGTGAGATTGTGTATTAAAAAAAAATAATTCCTATATCTTGTCGTACTCCCGAGGATGACATAATGCTCAATAGAGGGGATCTTTGATGTTGGAGTAATTCTTTGTACCTGCGACACATATTCGTATTCTTCGAATAAGGGTACATATGAAAATTATTATTTCTCACTTTATTGTTATTCTTCATCGTTTTTCATCATCTTTGTAGGCCAAATTGATATTCCCATTCTTCTCTTCCAAAGGTATGGCTATATCATTATTTTCTTCCTCTGATATTTCCACATATTTATAGAATATAGTCATGATGCCAAATATCACCATTACTACTGCCATCAAGACGGCATATAGGAAAATCTCATACACCTGTGGAATAAATAATAAATCGTATGAAATATGAAAATGAGAAAAAAAATGGATATTAAAGCCAAAAATAAAAGATATAATTGGTTTTGGTCACTTACTAGCCGCTCAAAGGGATGCGAACCCTTTACGATCACTACAATGAGATTGCCGAAGGCCACGCTCAGCAACCAACCCGCTTGCAGTAGAGACTTCATGGATACTGGAGCTTGAGTAAAAGCAAATTGCAGACCTGTTACAGAGAACATCACCTCGGCCATTGTGATGATGACATATTGCGGCAACATCCAAGCCATATGCAGCGAATTGGGTGGCGTGACCGTGACTGTTTTGCCAACAATCTTCGGTTTGTTATTATACATAACTCTGGACCCTACCACGGTGTACACTCCACCGGATTTAAAAGGCACATTCTTGTCTAGCAGTATTTCGTCTAGGTAAACGTCATATTCGCTTGGATCCTCAATTTCTTTTAACTTTGATTCGGAGAAATTGAAACTGACCGGAATTGATACTACCGTCTTGTTTTCGCCTTTATAGAGTAACTTCAATGTGGCGTTACTTTCAGACTCAAGATAGATGACACTGCGGACCATCGGCTTACCATTCTCCGGTTTGTTCACCGTATCTTTATATTTATATTCTAATCCCAAGGGCGTTATAACCCAAGATGTTGCACTGGCTTCCTCGACAAGCATGGTACCTGATGAGACGAATTATTTTAAAAATACACGTTACATTTTTCGAAATCCAAACTTCATGAATTTTACCTTCATTTTTCTTTAATGTGATGTAACCATTATCATAGCAGTCTTTGAAATCTGCTGTGTAGGATATTTTAATAGATTCGTTTACTTTTACTTCTAAAACTTCTGACATGCTTAGTGGGTTTATTATATTATTTCGATCTAAATTTACTTGATCTAACTTTACACTCACTGTACAATTCATTGTATTAAAAATTCGGATTTGAGCAGATCCGCTTGTCGGTAATTGTGGATACGTTTTCTAGAAATCAAAATATAAAATATTAAATTCTTCATGTAAGGATTGTACCATTAGTTATTACATAATTCGGATTTGGCAAGATATTAATATGTGATAATATGTATAATTGATATATCAAAACTTCCATATCTTTAAAAGAATTTAAATAAGCATTCATTACAAATAGATATAAACAATTTTGAATAATATACATAAAATTTCTCTTTATTACTACCTCGAGTTCTATTTCGACAATACCGGCTGCGACGAAAGCAACGCTGGCCAAAAAACCGCCGACAACAAGTTTCTTCAAGGGCGTATTAATGAAATGTATTTTGGCAAAAATCGGATAGATACCAGTCTCAAAGATTGGTATAAAAATGATGATCAACAATGGATTGACGGCCTGTAACTGATCAGGCAGTATTACGATACTACCTATTTGGCCATCCATTCGTGTTGCTTGGAAAGTCCATTGAGAACCTTGCTGATCGTAAAGTGCCCAGAATATTGGCAGTGGTACGAACAGTTTCAAGACTCGCAGTACGACTTTGATATCTTCGATTAGCTTGTTGTCGTAAACATCATCGGCATGATCGAGCCAATGATCGCGTTTTTCTCCTTTGCCTTTGATTTTATTGTAGATTGCATGCTGGTTTTTTGAAACATAAAAAGAATACGTTTATCTTAAGAGATTTCAGAATTCAAATTTTCATGAATTATTTAAAAATTTATCGAATTAAACATATAAAAGAGAGATTCTAATTAAGAACTCTTATTTTCATGAAATAGAAAATACAAAAATCCGTAGATCTACATATAATATTCTAGAAATATTTATAAATTCGCATTCAAGAATTCACAAATTCCAAGAATTAGGATTTATATTTGCCAACGTTTTAAATCGTATAATTGATAGATAATAAAATTATTTTACAGTCACGCAAGAGTATCATTTTATTTATATATGAAAAAAATTATATTAAAAATGTTTAA